GCTTGGTGCATTGGAAATGCAGTAATATGTCTGCATAAGGCATTTTGCAGTGACGGCCTTGGCATTTCAATTCTCCTATGTAAGGAGTGGTCTTTTTTATGGTTACTTGATGGCAGTTTCGTCTGTAGCTTGTGTAATGGTTTGAACCTTAATATACCTTCCAGCAAATTGTTCCTCAGCATAGGTCTGAGAGCCTGCTTAAAGCTCCCTGATCATCCTTGTGATTCTTTCCTCCATCTTTCTGGGCTATTTATTAGCTCTGAATTCCTGATTCTCCATGTTCGCGGATGTTTCTTTGTCTTTATGCTCTGCTTATGTAGTGTCTGGTTTTTGATTTGTCACATCAATCGACGTTTACCTGACTTTCGCAAAATGTCAAATCTAAATTTTTACAGGTAACACCTGAACTCATAAAACTTTAAGAGTTTAGCAGAGAAAAGAGTCAAGTGAAAGAAAGAGAGAGAGAGAGAGAGAGCTCAGAGACTGGCTTTGAGGATTTTATTGCCAATATAAATTGCCTGCAATAACTATCCTCTAAAGTGGCTCTTTGGCTCAGTTTTTATAGCGTTTTGGATCTCACAGCAGAGGCTTCATTTTAATTTTATATAACAAATTAATAGAAAATACACAAGAAGACATACAGATATGTGGACATAATGATCAGAATATGAGTCCACATGGAGAGTCCCTTAGGTGAGTGATTTGGAGTAGTCATCGGTTGTATTTTTCCTTTTTTAATTTGTTTCAGCGGAGATGTGGATACCAAAGCTATACCTTTCAAGCTCTGCATTTGCAAACTGTGGGTCCGAGACATGAGTTGAATTTGTTGATTCTGTGGAATCTCATCCTCTTTTCGTTTTTTCCTTATGCATCTAATTAAACACTCTTTTTTTTTTTTTTTTTTGCAGATATACTCCATGTTTTTTCTTTTATACCTAGAGATCTCAATTTTATTGAGCACACTCAGAGTACAGGTTGGAAAGTGTAAGTCTATCATAGCTTCCTAATAATAATAATTTTTCAGGATTTTTTATAATTTTTTTAAAATTCAACACTACTAATTATTCTTTTGTAATGCAGGAACCAGAGGGCTAAGCCGATCATCATTGATCCTGGTTTATATTTGTCAAAGAAGTTTGATGTTGTTGTCACTAGTGAACGACGAGAGCTGCCAACATCTTTCAAATTGTTCACAGGTATGTAGGTTTGGTTTCCCCTGTATTTTGATCGTCTCTGGCTCTTTGTTTGTTATATTTCATCTTATATAATTCACTTATTTTCTTGCCAATCTGTTCCGTGTCAATAATTGATTATCCCCTCTTTAGCAAGTTGGGGTGATGAGTACTCTTTATTCCATGCTGGATAAACTTGGGATATGGATTATGATTGTTTAGCATTACCTTCCAGTGCCTGCATTGAAGCTCAACTGGCCGCTTTGAACGGGGCTAGTCAATGCCATGTGCTTTAAGCGGTGTTTGATAGCATACTATTAATAGGATTTAGCGATGGATTTAGCTTAAAACCAACCAAACACAAAAAAACTGCATTAAATCCAACGTTTCATTAAATCAAATTTTCTTGTGTTCTATCTGTTTTTTCTCGCTTTTCGTCTCTTTCCCGATGTAAATCCGGATTTATTAAATCTGATTGCCAGACAGATTTAAGACAGATTTATTCCGTCTTCACTCGCAAACTCTTATGTCGAAGATAAATCCAGGTTTATCAGATTTGATAAATCCTACTTAATGTAAACTAAGTTGCAACTAAACACCGCCTTAAACTAAGTTTATGGCTCTCTTTTTAGTGTCATAAAATTATTTCATTGATGAACATTTAGGAATATCAGTTACTGCTGCAATGATGAATGTTCCTTTTGAATCTTACTAACTATAGTCTTACACAGCCTCACCTGGAACTTTAGAGACTCACTTTTATCCTCACTTGATCATGTTCCTAGAACGATTTCCTGCTTACTTTCTTTAATATTGGTTCATGATTATCAATCTTCGCCATTCTGTGTATAGGGTCAGCATGGGTGATGCTTTCCAGGGCCTTCCTGGAATATTGCATATGGGGTTGGGAAAGCCTACCAAGAACCATTCTCATGTATTACGTCAACTTTATCTCCTCCCCTGAAGGTTATTTCCACACTGTCATCTGCAACTCCGACAGCTTTCGTAGCACTGTAGTTGGCCATGATCTCCATTACATTGCATGGGACAACCCTCCAAAGCAGCACCCCCGCACCCTCTCCAGGAAGGATTTTAACGAAATGGTGAAGAGCGTTGCTCCCTTCGCTCG